GGAAGCCACACGCTTCTCCACGCACCGATGACGCCATAACCACGCGCAAGCACACACTCCAGAGAAAGACGACGTACGATTAGATGTTGGAAATTAAATTTATAAAAATATTTTAAGATTAAAGCAAGCTATCCAATGGCTTCCACAAGAAACTTATTCTAACCTCAGTTTCCAAAATTAGACAAAGGCAATTTTGAGCATTGGAGTATACAAATGAAGATATTCCTATCATTCCAAGATTTATGGGATTCGGTGGAGCACAGATATGATGAACTAGCGTCCAAAGAAAATGAAGAAGATTTGACAGAAGCTCAGAAGACTGCATTTAAAGATGCAACAACAAAAGACAAAAAAGACTTATATTTAATTTATCAAGGCATAAATCTAGCTACTTTTGAAAAGATCTCCACTGCAAGCACATCAAAAGAAGCATGGGAAACTTTTCAATAGGCAAGTTGAGGAATTGAGAAAACCACAAGGATTTGACTCCAAGTCTTACGAGGAGAATTTGAATTATTGCAAATGAAGGACAATGAGTCAATTTTTGATTACTTTACCAAAACTTTGACTATTGTTAACCAAATTAAAAGACTTAGTGACAAGATTGAAGAAATATGCATTATTGAAAAGATACTTAAATCACTTAGTTCAAAATTCGAACATGTGGTTGTTGCCATTGAAGAATCAAAGGATTTTAACGACTTGACAATCAATGAATTGTAAGCATCATTAGAAATTCATGAGCAAAGAATCAATAAGAAGATTGCATCAAGTTCCCTTAAGCAAGCACTCCAAACAAAGCTTTTGATAAAAGGAAGAAGAAAATCCTCAAATCAACGAGGAAGAGGAAGATATCCCCAGTACAATAATACAAGACGTCCACAACAACAACGTTCATAACAACAACAGAATTATGGAGATCGCCGACCACCAACAATAAACAGTCAAAGAGGTTGAGGAAAAGGTCATAACACAAGACCGCAAAGGTATGACAAATCTCAGATTCAATGTAATGTTTGTCAAAAATTTGGACATCATGCTACGGAATATTAGTATCAAAATACTAACAATGAAGAAAGGGAAGTCAATTATGGTGAAGTTAAACAAGATTTCACTATGCTACTGATATATAATGATAATGGTGAAGCAAATCAAAACAGTTTATGGTACCTTGATTCTAGTGCCAACAATCATATGAGCGGCAAGAGAGAATTGTTCGTAACACTCGACGAAAGTCAGCAAGGAGAAGTCACCTTTAGAGATTCAACAAAGAGACCCATGAAAGGAAAAAGGACTATCGACATTAAGTTGAAGAATGAAGAACAACAATATATCGGTAATGTTTATTATATGCTAGATTTAAAGAGTAACATTTTGAGTTTGGGTCAGTTACTTGAGAAAGTCTATAATATCCACACAAGAGAGTTGGGATTATCCATCTGCAATCAACATAACAAATTGATCAAACATGTAGACATGACTAAGAATCGCATGTTTCCTCTTTATTTGCAAGCTAGCAATGTTTTTCAATCTAATTGTTACAAAGTCAAAATCGTAAATGACACTACATTGTGGAATCTCATATTTGGTCACTTGAACTTTCAAGGATTGAACATTATGTCAAAGAAAAACATGGTGACAGGGTTACCATGGATCAAGCTTCCGCTAAAGAAATGTGAAGGATGTCTCATCGGCAAACATCACCAAAAGAGCTTTGGTGATGGAGGAATAAAAAGAGAAACTCAACCTCTCCAGTTGGTCCACAGAGATGTATGTGGTCCTATAGAACCCATGACACTCGGTGGAAATAGGTATTTTCTTACTTTCATTGATGATTTTACTGGCAAGACTTGAGTTTATATCATGAAGGAGAAAAGTGAATTTTTTCAAAAATTTAAGGAACTCAAATCCTTAGTTGAAAAACATAGTGGATATTTTATCAAGACGATGAGATCTGATTGTGGAAGAGAATATACCTTAAAGGAATTCGAAAGATTTTGTAAAGAAAATGGGATTATTCATCAACATACTATGCCATATACACCTCAACAAAATGGTGTCTCAGAAAGAAAGAATAGAACGATCCTAAATATGGTTTGTTGCATGATTAAAAAAAGAGCTGTGCCAAACTGTTGTTTGTGCAGTATATTTGCTCAACCGCTTTCCAACTAAGAAATTATTAAACAAGACCCCTAAAGAAGTATGGAGCTCGAGAAAGCCAAAAGCTGATCATTTGAGGATTTTTGGTTGCACAGTCTATGCAAAAATTCTAGACGAGAAAAGAACGAAACTAGAAGATAAAGACTGGAAATGTGTTTTCATCAGCTATAGAGAAAGTGGATACAGGTCAGAATTGGCAGAACTGGCAGAACCCAAGTCAAGAACTAGTCCCTATAATCCATATTGAAGATAATCCAACCACTGGAATTGAAGTCTGCAGTCACCCGCATTCACCTCCATGGGGGACAGGAACAAGAATGAGTACTCAACAACTTAGTATGCAACAAGAAAGTGTCAGCTCTTCATCAACAACATAGAATATACTAGGCAAGACTAGAACCATTTAAGATCTATATGATGTTACAAGAAGATTTCACGATATTTTGTCTATTCTGTGGAAGTGATTCTATTCACTTTGAAGCAGCATAAATGGTTGGGAACTTACATGAGGAAATCCAAGCCATGAATGAGGAAATCCAAGCCATAGAAAGAAACAATGCCTGGGAACTTACATTCTTACCAGAAGGACACAAATCAATTGGTGTCAAATGGGTGTATAAAACAAAAAGAAACGCTAATGTAGCTGTTGAAAAATACAAAGCAAGACTAGTGAGAGGCTACAAGCAACAATATGGCACAGACTATGATTAAGTTTTTGTACCAATCGCATAGCTAGAAACGATATGACTTTTTATCTCTTTAGCAGCCCAGAAAAAATAGAACATATACCAAATGGATGTCAAATCAGCATTCTTAAATGGTTATCTTGAAGAAGAAGTGTACGTTGAACAACCGTTAGGCTATGTAAAGCCAAATCAACAGGATAAATTATATAAGTTAAAGTGAGCACTTTATGGCTTGAAGCAAGCACTAAGGGCATGGAATACAAGAATTGATAGGTATTTTGTTGCAAACGAGTTTGTTAAATGTCCTTATGAACATTCCATGTACCTCAAGACAAACGAAGGGAGAGATTCGTTATTTGTTTGTCTTTACATCGATGATCTAATATTCATAGGGAACAATCTCAACATGATTCAAAATTTCAAAACATCCATGATACAAGAGTTCGAGATGACAGACATCGAACTCATGGCGTATTTCTTGGGCATAGAAGTCAAACAAAGTAATGAAGGCATTTTCGTATCACAAGTTAAGTATGCCAAAGAAATCATAAAGAAGTTTGGCATGGAAAATTGTCAAGCCGTCAACACACTGACAAATGGAAGTAACAAGATGTCCAAGTATGATGAAGGAGATAAGGTTAATCCAATGTATTTCAAAAGTCTAGTTAGAAGCCTAAGATATCTCACAGCTACGCGACTTGATATATTGTTCGCAGTAGGCTTAGTTAGTCGGTATATGGAGGAACCCAAGACACCATATCTGAAAGGAGCCAAAAGAATTCTATGGTATGTGAAAGGTACAATAGAGTACGGATTATTTTATTCATCCACAGAAAAGTCTAAATTAGTAGGATACAACGACAGTGATTGGGTAGGCGATGTGGATGATCGTAAAAGTACTATCGGATTTGTGTTTTATCTCAAAGAAACAGCTTTTACATGGTCCTCAAAGAAAAAACCGATAGTAACTCTATCGATATGTGAAACAGAGTATGTAGCTATTGCTGCAAGAGCATGTCATGCAATCTGGTTAAGAAATTTGTTGAAAGAAATTCAAGAACCACAACAAGAAGCCACTGAGATATACATGGATAACAAGTCAGCAATCCAGCTAAGAAAGAATCCAGTCTTCCATGATATAAGCATGCATATTGACACAAGATTTCATTTCATACGAGAATACATAAGAAAAGAAGAGATCTAATTGATACACACGAAAAATGATGATCAAGTTGCAGACATATTTATAAAGCCTCTCAAAACAACAACATTTGTGAAGCTATGAAGAATGCTCAGAGTTACCTTATTTGGTGATTCAAGTTTAAGGGGGGATGTTGGAGAATAAACTTGACTCTTCAAGTAATCTTCAGAAGCTGCTTGAAGATGGAAGAAGAGATTGAAGAAATAAGCTTCCTTGAAGCTCAAAAAGTCAGAAACTTAGAAGGTAAGAAACTGAATTCAAATTCACAGTTGTAAATTCACACACGGTTGATACACAGATCAAAAACCTATAAATAGATTGTTAGGTTATTGTTATAGATATCAATAAATCAAGAAACCCATAAGAGGTTTGAGAGATAAAGAGGTAGGAAATAAAACTCACAGATTGTATTTGTTCGAAATAAATTCATATATTTGTTTATGTGTGAGATATCATAAATTTCATACAAAATATATAGAAACCCACCATCAAAATCTTCTAAACCCAAGTAAAATTGGGTTAAATGAGTTGAACATGGGTATTCATTTAACCACCACCCACACCACCATCACCACTATTTCAACCACCACACCACAACCATCACCATCACCATCACCATCACCATCACCATCATCATTTATTGGGAAAAAAATTAATAGAGAAAAAAGATTTGTAGAGTTTATTTTGTCCAACTCATATTCAATTCACTTAACTTTAATCAGTTTATTTAATGAATATAATTGGATTAAATTATTTTAAAAACATAACCTGTTGTAACCCTCTTAAATCCATCCAAACTCATCCATTTGCTAACTCTAACCGCAAGTAATAGTGGATATGCAAAAGCGACAGATCTAGAGCACCCAAGGAGATCCAAATTCATCCAATGTCTAACCAATCAAGAAAACTAGCACTACCATATCTACCATATTATCACTCCACAAAAACTTATATTTTTTTTTGATCAGCAAAGAGAAATTTCATTTAATAGCATAAAATTAAAGGTACAGGAAGATGAGATGCATCGAGAGAGATTCGGAAGTATAAAAATACCCCTACTACTGCTACTCGCATCCATACAACCAACCCCTAAGCCTCTCGATTTTTTAAATAAAAAAGTTAAGAAGAACTTAACTAGAGAATTAAAATACATGAATCCCCACATTATTACAACGTGGTAGATCATTACAATAGATAACATATAGTTAGATATTCTACACATTATTGTCATGATTATTTATCACGTACATTTAATACACTTGTCATAAACAAGAGATTAGTAGTAGTAGTAGTAGTAGAACACCTTTTACAACCCTTTCTAGTTAGGTGAACATCTGGTAGCACAAACCATCAGCCACAAGTAACAGAGGATACTGAAAGAGGGTAGCTGAAGCTATTAGCATATTGGAAAGAAAGGCTTTCTCCGGGGCCTAGAGCCTCCCCGTTGTTGACAAGGCAATCATCATAGCAGATTCGCTTGAACAGTTGAGGGTTGATTAGTTCAGCAGAGCTGAACCACCCACAACTCAGGTGGATGTTGGAGACACTACAGCCAGAGACACAGACATTCATGACTTGAACCGTGTAGGTTGGTATGCCGTTGGGAAGTGGAGCTGTTGGTCCTTGGAATATGGCAATGTCATCCTTTGAGCATGTCGCGCCAACCCGGTTCATTGGATTGCCATCGTCGTCGCCATTATCATCTAAATTTAAGTAACAAGAATTATATATATAGAACTTTGTGAGTAGTTAAAATACAAAAAAAATTTAAAAAAATTAATTATCAAATTTACGATTAGACACAGTTGTGGAAACCACATTGATAAATACACGTATAACTTATTTTGTGTATGATAATTAGGGGTGGGCAGCGGGTTGCCAGACCTGCACAACCTACCCAATCTGACTTTACTCGCAAGATTTTGTACGGTTTTAAGAGATTGATAAGGTTGGATACGGATTGAGTTTTAGATAAAATTACGGGTTCGGTTTGGATTGTGGGTTGCACTCAACCTCCAGACATAATTTCAAAAAAAAATAAAACTCTAATCTCCAACATTTTTTTTACTTTTCTCCCACATTTTTATCTTGGTTTCATAATTTTTCCCACTTATATAAACCATTGAAGATACAGAGAAAACACCAAATCATATTTTTTTAAAGTCCACTCATGGTTGTCCCATATCGAAAAAAAGAAAAAAGAAAAAGAATACTTTTACCATTCTCAACTCCTATAAAAATGTGTTCCATCCTAGCAATTTCCTTTAAGCAATAAGTAAATAAGCAATGTATTAATTATTTGTCAATTTGCAAATAAAAATTGCTTGAACGAGTTTGAATGAGTTACAAATTATTAAGTTTCATGAATAGTTTTTCTTTTCTTTTCTTTTTTTTACAATAAAATCTCAACCCGCATAACGCACCCACCCGCACAAACCAAAAATCGCATCACCCACACAAACCACTATGGGCAATTACGAATTCATTTTTTTCAAATCACATCCCATCGGGCGAGTCCAAACTGCAACGTGGAACTGACCAAAACCGCCCGTGACCACCCCTTTATGTATATAATTGTCCTTTGGATAAGAACTAACAAGCAAACATATAGTATAATAGTATTGCATACTGCATAAAATTCGGCCTGTGAAGCCATTACATAATGCACCGTGATGGGCCTCAATTCTGTCAACCAAATATCGGAACTTCATTGAAGCAGAATGGGCCTGATAGCCCAGTTTGAACAACCTCAGGCCTTTTAAAGAAAGCCTAACACTAGTATAGACAGCTGAAAAACCCATCATCCTATGACGAAATTTTCTAGTAGGTTGGTGTTGTTCAAGCATTTGGCCAGAAAAAAGAAAGATAAAAACAATATAAATAGTTCTAAAAAAAACAAAGCAAAATAATGAAACATGCATCAGAAGTTAGCACTAACATGGTTTTAAGAAATGGTATTGAAATATGTATGGGTATTAGTTATAGGTTATTGTCTACTAATATATCAGTAAATATCCCTATTAAAAGACTAAATATATCAATAAATATTGATAACACTAATGCGACTACCAAATTTTTTTTTTATTGAAATCCATATGCAACACCAACGTGATTTTAATATATGGTCCCTCTCTCTCTCTCTCTCTCTCTCTCTCTCTTCACTATTCTGTCTTAATCCTCACGTTTTGAAAGGCCTTTCTGCATCTTTGATTGATTACTTGGAAGATATCATAGTTCTGATTTTCAGCATGTTTAACAAGCACAAATCCATATACAGTATTACTCTACCCTAGCTAGAAAGTGCACTAAACAAAGTTTAACAAAAGTCTTACATGAGCAAATCAAACTAACACAAAGTTTAACAAAAGTCTTACACGATCCAATAAAAGTAAACTAAGTCATCTTGTTTCAATGAAATGGGATCCATAACATGAATCTTTTTTTTTTTGCTTAGGATTCATGTACATAATAAACTCTACCCTAGCTAGAAAGTGCACTAAACAAAGTTTAACAAAAGTCTTACATGAGCAAATCAAACTAACACAAAGTTTAACAAAAGTCTTACACGATCCAATCAAAGTAAACTAAGTCATCTTGTTTCAATGAAATGGGATCCATAACATGAATCTTTTTTTTTTTTGCTTAGGATTCATGTACATAATAAGGAATCAGAATTTTTACATGTTAGCTGTAAGGTACCTAACACCTCACAAAGAATCTCCCTCATTTCATCTAAACTTGGGACCTTAAGTATTGAACCAAAAAAATTCTTAAGAAAGTACAAAATTTAAAATGTGTAGATCAGATTTTTAAAGTTGGAGTCCACACTAAACTAAGGCCCTGTTTGGGAAAGGGCTAAAATAGCTTTAAAAAAATTAAAAAGTCATTACAAATTGTCAAATTATTCTTTATACTTTTTCTTCTTCTTCTTCTTTTATAATAAAAAAAACTAAAAAATTATTAAAAAAGCCAATTTCCAAACACCCCTAAATTTCAATATACAACATAAATTCAAAATTCAAATATTTTTGAGTATTTTTTTTTTTTATGCATTCAATTTGCATTTACGAAATATAATCCATTTCCATACTCCCAGTTTGACATAAATATACTAGAAATTATTCAGTGTTGTTGGAGCATTGCTCCATTCTATTTACTAAGGGCAAGTTTGGGAAGATCCAAAAAAGCCAAAAAGTCAAAAAGTTACTCAAAAAGCTAAAAAGTTAACACTATTCACCAAAAGTCAACAATTACGGCTGCACAACTCCCAATTCAAATTTTTCTCTACAAATCAATTTTTACAATTTTTTATTACACATTTTTCAATAAAAAGTCAAAAAGTTAACCCAAACATCCATATTTTCAACCTCAATTTTTTAGTCCAAAAAGACAAAAAGTGCACTTTTTTAGTCTTCCCAAACTTAGCCTAAATGACATATGTCTTGCACTAACACAAAAGTGATGAGTTTTATTGTTTAGAAGAATAACTAGCATTTATTTAGAGTACCATTGATTTATCTAGACTTGTTTGAGGAGCACTAAATAATTTCTCCGAATATGTCCAAAAATAAAGGGAGACTACATGAAGTTAGGCTCACGTACTCACCAGCCATGGTCATGGTCAGTAGCTTACGAGCAAAGGCAGTATAATTTTGCTTGGAAAAGACCATTTCTTGAAAGCCAGCAGCATCACCACCAGTCATTTCCGAAGAACCATGAATTCCCACAACTGCATATATTAATTTCTATATCAGACATGTAGTTATGAACATAGTAACTCTACTCATTAATATGCTCTCTCCTCATTCAACTTCTCTTCTTGCATTTAAATTCTCAAGAACTAGCTACATACAATACATTACAACCCTAATCTAACATGTTCAAAAACAAAATTGCCAAATTGACACTCAACACACACAACAACAAAAAGAAAAAATCACAATAAATTTTGTCGTCATCTCTTTTTTTTTTCATCTTATTTAAGCTATTTTAAGTAGAATTCGTACCCAATGTTTTTGGCACAGACAAAAAAAATGAAGCAGAGAAAAAAACAATAAGCAACATTACAAATTGCACCAAACAACACCATTGTTAGATTATGGGTCAAATAATCCACCCTTGTAATGAACTGGTAAAAGCTGACAATTCAACATCTAGTGACTGTTTATGAAATTTCTTTAAGAGAAGCAACTTCAAATGCAAAGCCAAGCACATGAAAAAGAAACAAGAAAAGTGCATATATATATATATAGATATAGCACACCCTTGAATGGTGTATTAGAAATGAGAGAGAAAGGGAAAGGTACCAAAGAAAACAGCAAAGATCAAACTCAAGCCCAAACCCATGGAGACCATGCAAAGTCCCTGTGCAGCACTAGTATTTCTCATAACACCTTTTGTCATCTCCAATCTCTTCCAGTACTACCCTGCAAATTTCATCACGAAACAAAACCAATTTGAAAGTAGAGAGAGACAGAATGCAGAAGGTACCAACTTTTAGTAACAAGAACATGAAGAAGAAAAGAAAAAAAAAAATGTTTTTTGGAAATGACATTATTTGGTACTTACACAGCTAGAAAGTGTTGCCAAAAGCAAATCTAACATGGATGGAATGGAAGCAACGTATATCTGATTCTGATGAAATTTATAGAACCAATTTGTTGGTTGATTACCCAAAATAGACAGCAATTCTCAATCTAATTACAGAAATGCCACTGAGTTGTGGGTATTGGTGACACTTTATTGCAAAGGTCTATCTAGGCTTGCTCGTTTGTCAGGCTATGGTTTCATTGACTGGCAAAGCTTGAGGGAGAGATGTAAAGATCTGAATTGCCTCTTGGGGGCGGCCCATGAATTTAACTGTCACTCTTGTATGCTTTTCATTTTGCAGTGGTCATTTAAGACACACTGAATTTAACATGTTATCAAAATAAACCATAGATTATAGATTCAGCGTTTAAATTTCACTCAAAATTTTTGTCACTTATTTGGCCCCTTCCATTTGTAAAAGAGAGTTTATTCATACGTGAAGACATGAGTGTGTTGTGTGGATCAAATTCATTATCGTGTCAACCATACCACATAGTTTAAATCTATATATATTCTAAATTTTTATACTATATTATATTTATCACCTTACTTGTGAATGTAAGGGTTAAACTTTTTTCATGTTCATATTTCAACATAAGATAACTTGAGAGGCTTGTAGGACTCACTACGGCTCCTGTTTCAAAAAAATGAACAAAAAATATATTTTTAAAAATATACTATCTATTTTTTTACAGACAAGTATGATAAAATAAAAATATTACAATTATATGATCGACCTATTTTTTTTTTAATGAATATTATGTATGGAAGGCCTTAGAAAATGAGCTATTCAAATAATTGAAACAAGATTTGCAGTAGACCTCACTGACCACTCAAATTTTCCCATGTTAAAATTTATGAAAATGACAGAAGCTCAATCCTTAATATAATATTGATGTAAGGAATAAGTTTACCATTTATATATCTCTTCAATAAATAGTAAAATAAGATAGAAATATATAGACAGTCTTGTTGTTAACCATTCTATTAAGCTAAAAGAAAAAATTAAAAAATGAAAGCTAAGTTTTAACTGCAAAAATTCTACTACAGGATGCCCTAAGGAATAAAAATTTATATTATGTTTTCTAAGAGTCCAAAATCAGATCCTCACCATTATCTGAAAAAATAAATAAATAAATTATAAACTAAAAAAAATTATAATTTTTTTTATTAACTTTATATATCAAGTAATAAATAAATTAAAAAAAATTAAAATAAGACTTACTTTTGTTAACCAGCTAGCATCCTAGAATATATGACTTAAATAGGGTATTTTTTTAGGGGGGAAAAAAAGAAAAGAAGAAAAGAGAATAAAGAACAGAACGGCATTACAATATCAGTATTAAAACCAAAGGGTTGTATTTGAAAAGAGTTGCACTATGGTTTTATTTGATAATTGCATATTTTAGTTAAAAAGTTAATAAAATATTATAAATTGTCACATTATTTTTTTATTTTTTTTATTGTATATTTTTTTATAAAAAAATAAAAAATTATAAAAATAATTTATTTTCAAAGGAAGCCTAAATATTTAATTATATGAGTTAAAAATCGTGATAACGGGGTGCAATTAAGTTAAAGAATCTTTTAAAAATATGACATGGAATGATGAACGGTGATATTATATGTATTAATTAATGTATTTAGTGTATTAATACTAATTATAACATTATTATTGACCTCACTCATTATACGAATTAGAATAATACTATATGCACTAATTAGTGTACACACTAGTATACCAACAGATGATGTGGCATAATTTTAGAGGTTTTAGTATTTGTAATTTGTATAATAAATAGGGTCATTAATGATATCACAACACTAGTTGGTACACTAATGTGTATACTAATTAGTGCATGTAACACCACTATATAAATTATAATTGAATAATGCTACATGTATCAATTAGTGTACTAATTAGTATACCAATTGATGATATAACATAATTTAAGATGTTTTTTATATTTATAATTTATATAATAAGTGGGGTTAATAATAATATTATAACTAGTGTTAACACATTAATTAGTATATGTAACACTATTTTATCAAAAAAAATTAAATTATATCACACTATTAATTAATACATATAATATTATCCAATGACGAAACCATGCGGCTTTTATTGATGAGTAGTAGTAGTATGGTAGAAAAGTGATATTTAGAGAAAATGTGTATTAAAAAATTGTAAAAATTAATGTATAAAAAAAAATTAAGATTAAAAGTTATGTAACCATAATTTTTAATTTTTAATAAATAGTGATAATTTTTTAACTTTTTAACCTTTTTTTTTTAACTTGTCAAACTAAACTTATTGTTGATTTGATTAACACGAATAAAAAGGTACTCTTTTCTACCCCTCCCGATGCAAACATTCCTGACCCCTATAATAATAAGTTGATTAAAATGGTTGGGTTTGTAAGTGGTTGGCATTTATATACCTCCCACTAATGTACATCCACTTACATATTAGGCTAGATACAAACTAGGAAAATTTCATTTCAGTTGGGATTGCATACAAACAATTTTATTTTTATGATGGTGTAAATTTTTAAGTATTAGGAGTTAGTTAGGAATAAATTATTTTAATAATTTTTTAATTTTTTATAAGAAATGTGCAGAAAAGTAAAGAAAGTGATGTGATAATTTATAGTAATTTTTTTACTAAAATAATTACTCTCCAAACGAGACTTAAGACTTGCCAAAAAAGTAAAAACAAAAAATCACTTATAGCTCAACTATTTCAAAATTATCCCACTTATTTGCAATTCACTCACAAACTATTTAGGGAATCAACAATGCTAGGTAGCTCAAAATTTTGTGACTCAAATCACTCAAAACGACGTCGTTTTGACAGATTTTGAGTTTAAAACGACATCGTATTGACAGATTTGAGCCATTTGAGCCACAAAATTTTGAGCTACCAAACATTTTCCTTAGGGAATAATGGTCCACTACAACAAAACACATTTTTGGTGACCACTTTTGGCTACCAAAACAAATTTAGTAGCCAAAAGTGTGGAAATTGGCTACCAAAATTAATTTTAGTCGGCAAAAGTCATCTTCTTAGTTACTAATTTTTTTTCGTAGGGGAATGTTGATTATTGGCGACTAAAAAAAATTTAGTAGCTAAAAATATTACAATTTGCGACTAAAAAAAAATTTAGTAGCTAAAAATATCACAATTGGTGACTAAAAGAAATTTAGTCGGCAAAAATGCCAGAAATTGGCGACGAAAAGTAAATTTAGTCGCCGTAGGTATAGATTTGGCTACTAAAACCTTTAGTCGGCAAATGTAAAATAAAAAATTAATTTTTATCTTTGGCGACTAAACGACTAAAAGTTGATTTTCAGCGACGAAAAATAAATTTAGTCGCCGTAGGTATAGATTTGGCTACTAAAGCCTTTAGTCGGCAAATGTAATATTAAAAAATTAATTTTTTTCTTTGGCGACTAATATTTTAGTTGCCAAAAGTTAAAATATTTGGAGGGAGCTATTTTAAATTTTAGAGGGATTTGAAAAATTAATTGGCGACTAAAAAGTTTTAGTCGCTAATGGTGTAATATATATAAATATATATAGCATTCGCTCCTGTTCTCTGTTTATTCTCCTTCACCACACGAAACCTCACCCCACTTCACATGATCACAGACCACCGCCACCGCCTCAGATGGCAACGGCCATTGCCGCAGATCGCCGCCGCCACCGCCACCTCTGCAGATCGCCATCGCCATTGCTGCAGAGCACAGGTTCTCTCTCTCTCTGCGCGCTCGCTCTCGCTCTCTTGCTCTCTTTTGATCGAGCTGTGTCTCTGTGGTACAACTTAAATTCTTAATTTCTCAAAAACAAAATATAAGAACTTGGGTCAATTGAAACCCCGATCAATTTATATGACAATGTTGTTTTCACAGTTTGCCCTAATTTATATGATAATGCTGTTTACACAGGTTGGCCTCACTAATATATATATATATATATTATTGAACTTTGTAAATAAATTACTTATAAGAATATATGCATGAGTAGCTAAGAGTGTGGAAAGACTAAAATGTGACACATTGGTAGCAGTGTTTGGTCTCCATCTGGTTTACTGAAATGCAGGTAAAACAGTGTTTGGTTTATTGAAATGATTATAAATAGGAATAGAATATATGAGGCTCGAGCTGTGTCTCTGTGTCTCTATCTCGCTTCCTCTATTTCTTTCAATCTTGACAGGCCAGATTTCTTCAAGTTGTTTTTTGTTCACATCTACATTTTATTTGCTCACCAACTGTTCGACATTTGGTCTGTGACTTGTAGAAATGAATTGTTTAAGTATATATGGACCCCAAAGCATCTCTAGTTTGCTCACCAATTGTTTGACAATTTATTTGTGATACATAGGAATGATCTGCTGGAGCAATTTTAATTGTGTAGTTTTGTGGATTTTTGTTAATTGTTTCTATTGATACTAATGTCCTTGATAGTAATCTGCTGGAGCAATTTTCTGCTGGCAAGATTGATGCAAATGGTTGAGCAATTTTTTGCTGGCAATTTTAATCTGCTTGATAGTAATCTGTTGGAGCAATCTATTGATACTAATGCTCTGTTTGAAAATTGGTTTGTGATGCATAGTAATCTGCTGAATTTTTGTAATGCATACGATTTTTTTGAAGATGAACAAGTTCTGTACTTTTAGTCAGCAGATTCGACCTTCATTTCATTACACTTTTGGCCACAAGAGATGAAGGAGATAGGTCAAAAATGAAGAGAAGGCTGGAGGAGATGAACAAGTTCACATCTTTATTTTATTATTGTGTTTGGTATGAAATTAGGTGCTAAGCTTTCCTCTGTTCTTTCTTTACACTACCATTGAGAATATGCTCATTTTTCTTTCAATTCCTAGATGATAAAGAACAAGAAACCAGCTAAGCTCCTAATGAGGCTACTAGGCACTGTTTTTTTCTTTTTCTTTTTTCTCTATGCAAAAACCTATGTTAGTTAAACCTATGTTATGTAATAACTGCATTAATGTGTTTTCTATCCAAACTCGGATCGGATAAATGTTAGTTGTTGCTGTAAAGTGAGAAGATTAGAAAGATTAAGAAAGACAAAATACTTAGGTGCCGTTTGGTAACACTTACGTTTTCAGTTTTCTGTTTATATTTACAA